CCATCCTCTGAGACTTTGCACTAATGCACCCTAACCCTACTCCTATAGATAAAATTCACCCTATTCCCTCCCTACTAACACCACCTAGTCCTTCTCAATAAGAAAAAATATTATTATTAATATTATTATTATTATTATTTTAACACTTAACCATACCAACTCTAATCCCTAACTGAACCTCAAAAAATAATTGCTCTACAAACACATAGTCTAAAAGATAGACAGCATAGCATACCAATTGAGCTGAGTCATTAAACTTCCTACCAACATATAATTTTTACACACAGATTGAGCTCGGAGACTCAACTGGGAACATGTGACAGGTCGACATGCGCCGGCCAGTGCAAGCCCTTGATCAGCCTACCCCAAACCGCCAAGTCAACTGATGAATGCGGTGGCTATCACTGTATCTCTTACCCACACCCCAAAAAATTTTTATTCCATTTTTCGTTTTTTTTTTTTTTTTTGTCTAACTAACTAAAAAAGGTTGGAAAAGAGATCCTACAAAGGTTTTGGACAGTGATTTTAACACTTACGCCAAAAACCTTTAACCTTTACCTAGCCCTGTAACCTAATACCCGGGTATTACCTAAAGGATGCCCTACCACACCAAAATTTTTTATTTTTCGTTTTTTTTTTGTCTAACTCCAAAAGGTCTGAAACATGTTCCTTAAAAAATATTGGACAGTGATATTAACCCTTACGCTAAAAACCCTAAACCTTACCCTCGCACCGTAACCTAATACCCGGGTATTACATTAAGGAAGCCTTCAAACCCCAAACATTTTTTTTTCATTTTTCGTTTTTTTTTTTTTGGTCTAGCTAACTCCAAAAGGTTGGAAAAGAGTTCCTACAAAGGTTTTGGACAGTGATTTTAACCCTAACGCCAAAAACCTTTAAACTTTACCCAGAGCCGGATTAACCATGAGGCATAGTGAGGCTGAAGCATCAGGGCGTTTGCCTATGGGGGGCCACTCAGCCCGAGCAGTAGCCGCTATGACGCTGATGAGCTGCGCCCGGTGTGATGAGGATTAGGCTGTATTGGGAGAGAGGAAAAAGTGCCTAGAAAGTGAATCTCATTCCACCTAGGTGGGGCAACATAAACTGTGATTCATAAAATAGCTATATTGATAGTGAGTACTAAAAAAAAATATCTACTCATGCCATCCTGTCGATTTTTAGTAATCAGTGTTTCGGTGTCGAACTATTTCCTTTCTGCGGCGCAGTGATAATTGCACACACGCAATCGAATATGCAGAGGGGTGAAGCGATTTTTGTCACGTGGACCAATAGGAGTCGAGTCTCGTTGCCATAGTATCAGAAATACACAAACATGGCGACGAGCGCATCTAGCAGCGAGACAAGCGAAGAGGAAGAAAAGAACAGGAAAAAAATAAAACAGCCTTCAAAAGTGCATCAAAAAGGAACGAAACGATGCTATATGCATCTATCATCTGTCCAGAGTGAAGACGTTCTTGACTTCACAAGGACACGTTGGGAAACTTACAGAACCAGTATTAGAAAGTGGCTTTCTCTACTGGGTGAGACAAAAGACCAGCCAGAAATGTACATATATGTGAGTAACACAAAAAACGATTACATGGTGCTGCAGTTTTTGCCTGTAGAAACTGCTAGGTTGATTCTGACAAGACAAAATCTTTCTCAGATGTCATAAATACATCTACCTAACATCTGAAACAGTTATTGGTGCCTTAGTATATGCATAAGTGAATTCAGATTATGAAATGTAGCAAATTTCTTGAAGAAAACGTCTCAACTCAAGTGAATTGCACCCAGCACAATGAAATATATACAGTAAATTTAGCTAAAAGCTTATGTTTCATACATAAAAATGACACAACCTACTGTGTAATAAAAGCAATAAAATATAAACAGCACATCATGGCCATAAATGGCTGAAAGTCAATCAAATTGCTACCACGCTCCCCAAAATTGGAATAATGGAAAAATGTAACAAGACAAAAATAAATGCACAAAAGGTCTGAATTAATTCAAAATATGGTATAAAACATTTATTCAAGTATCACAGTGTCATAACCTCTGACATTTATCAGTCCCTACAGAATATGAAAAGAAAGATCAAAACACAAACGCAGACAAATGTAGAACAAATATAAAATAATAAAAATCTCAAATCTCAGTGTAGCAATCCTTTAAACAAAACAAATTGTATAACCATAACAGGCCTTCATATCATGCCTTGCACTTTCATATATAATGCTTGCTATATACTTATGATTTAAAATGCCTGAGGTTTTCTACTGTAAAAAAGTGAACTGTAAACCAGCCTCTGTGCTTTCCTTGAAGACTTTTTTCACTACCTCTTGTTGAATTGAGTTCAGACACACAGTTGTATTAACCCAGTGGTTTGGCTAGAGGTGGTGGCTAGTGGAACCGTTAAATAACCACCCATAACTGCAGTAATTTCCACAAAATGACCAATAAAAACTGCCAGTTTTTTCTGAGCGCGGGACAGAGGGGGGCCATTAGGTTTGCTTAGCCTCAGGGGCCACAGAAGGTTTAATCCGGGCCTGACTTTACCTAGCCCTGTAACCTAATACCCGGGTATTACCTTAAGGAAGCCTTAACACCCCAAATTTTTTTTTTTCATTTTACTTTTTTTTTTGGTGTAACTAATTACAAGAGGTCTGAAACATGTTCCTACAAAGGTTTTGGACAGTGATTTTAACCCTAACGCCAAAAACCTTAAACCTGACCCTAGCCCCATAATCTAATACCGGGGTATTACCTTCAGGAAGCCTTAACACCCCAAACATTTTTTTTCATTTTTCGTTTTTTTTTTGTCTAACTAACTCCAAAAGGTTGGAAAAGAGTTCCTACAAAGGTTTTGGACAGTGATTTTAACCCTCACACCAAAAACCTAAAACCTTAACCTAGCCCCATAACCTAATACCCGGGTATTACCTTCAGGTAGCCCGAAAACCCCCCCAAATTTTTTTTCATTTTTCTTTTTTTTTCATCTAACTAACTCCAAAAGGTTGGAAAAGAGTTCCTACAAAGGTTTTGGACAGTGATTTTAACCCTAACGCCAAAAACCTTAAACCTTACCAAAGCCCCATAACCTACTACCCGGGTATTTCCTTCAGGAAGCCCGAACACTGTTGAAGTTATTTCAAACTTCCCCGAGTCCGTTGATGGAGACTGGAACAGAGGATTCACTGAGGCAAAAAGGTGTCTTCAACAAACCTTTTATTTTGGCATATCAAATAACACAAGATATCTTGGAGAGCACAACATCAACCCAATGGTATCTCTGAGGTGGTCTGATTACTATTTTTCAGTAGTTAATAGTTATACCCTAGGAGGCGTCTCATCATCCTTTTGGGCGGAGAGTTTACATAACCAGCAGTCCCCAGTGTTTCTCTATGGACAAACAAGCACATATTGTTCTATTTTTTTTACCTGACCGAAACTGTGGTTTCAGGATAGTTGACCTTGGATGCATCCAGCACTTGTCTCCTTTTTTATCATATTTGCGTCATGTATTCCAAGCTTTCACTGAGTTCCCACTGGGCAGACTGCTGGGCATACAAACCCTCCCTTTACACCTCCCCATCTTCTTAGGACAGAGTGATCTTCCTCCCTCGTCCTGTTGTTCACATCTCTGACTAGCACCTGCACATCTGTTAATGAAAGGCACATCATTATCTGAGGCATATGTCAGGGTCATAGAGCACTTCTATAAGGAACACTTTTAATAAATGACTGTTGTGATTATAATACACACTTGAAATAAATGACTGTTAAGGCATAACAGTTTAAAACCATACTTACCAACCCTTGGCACTTCTCGGCATAAGCTAAAATCCTTCTATACTGAAAGTCTCTGTTCTATACATTGTGACACAGTGGTCAATTGCCCCCGTGTTAGCATTAAACCTTCTATTCTGACTCATCAGTACATGTCCGCAATGAGCACACAAAATAATGTAAACACAATAAGAAAACAGTTAATTACCTGAAACAATGACTAAATGATAGGTATGATATATGAGTTCCCACAAATTCCCCCTTTTGATCTCTTCAAAGAGATCACCTTCAATGAGCGCATCAACAGTGCCAGGAGTATGAATTTAACCGTCTGTATTGCAGTTATGCCTAGGTAAACCTTACGTCTGTTTGCAAGCAGGGTGGCATCCAGGTCGGGGTCTACCACACTGAGGGACAGGTTAGTATCAAGCTGTGGGCTGGGGGTTAGAGGAGGAGATGGAAAACAACCGTGAGTACTTTGATTGCCAGAGGGATACACATCAAATCTACAAACCCAACATTCAGAAGGAGTGGGAACCATGACCTTTAAGTAAGTGAAATTGACAGACACTACTGACACCCCTTTTTGGCTGTCATTCCCCCCGGGGCGTGTAAGATACATCATAGGGTATGGGACCTTCTGCTTGTCGCCAATTGTTACCATCTCTGAGGGAGAGGCCAACTTGCATAGAAGTGTTTGGACCAGATTATTTGCAAGTAATGGTTAGGGCCGTAGCATTACCAGAGATTGATGGGCGGGCCGAATACGCATCCTAACCGTGAATGGGACGTGAGAGGTATGTTGCATCGTGTTTTGTGGCGTTTGTAGGCAACTGTGGGAACTCCCTAGTCAGCCCTAAAATTATAAGCAGCAAACCTATGTTAAATAAGACTAAAGCAATCAACCATGGCCATGAGCCAAATTTAGGATGAGGGATCCTCATTTCGTTTCTGCAAAATTCAACCCACAAAAGAACATCGAACAATACAATGTAAGTTAATAACCAGATAAATGCTGAAATGAAAGGGTGTGGAACATACAGTGTGAAACATACAGGTAAGAAATGTTCTTGTCTTGCACGACCTGACAGATGATCCGTCTGTGGAGGTCGCCCGGACAGGCAGCGCAGCATCGTTGTCTACTGGAGCAGGTGTCAGCCGACGTCCTGCGGGATGTTGTCATCTTTCTTTAGGCGGTCAGGGGTAGACTATCCTGTGCCCTTTTCGTTGCAGGGATTATTCTGCCCTGTGTCTTTTCTGGAGGTGTATGGCTCTTTGGTTTGGTTTCCTGCTGCAGCCGCTGCAAGATCCTGCCGCACTTCCTTCAGGGAGCGTTGAGGTGTTACAGCTGGGGCGCACTGAGTGAGGTGGAAACAGGTGTCTCCTTTCCTGTCCAGCCGGACTGCGTGGGAGGTTCTCTCGGTCACCTGAAATGGTCCTGTCCACCTAGGCTCGCTCCACTTTCTCTTGATGACCCGAAGGAGGACCCAGTCAGTGATGGGTAGGTCACCATCTTTGGTGCCATCTTTGCTGTCTCGCACCTGCTTAGCAAATTCAGAGAGAACAGATTGCAGTTGTACATAATAATCTTTCTGGTGCATGTGAGAGGGAGGAGGGTCAGTGTTTTGCAGGGCTCGCTCTGGCCCTGGAAAAGGTCGACCACGTTCGAGCTCGAATGGGGTGTCTCCAGTTGTCCTGTTTACTGAGGATCGGATGGACATGAGGGCGAGCGGTAGAGCATCCACCCAGTTCAGCCCTGTATGGGCACAAATCTTTGACAGCCTGTTCTTGACTGTCTGGTTCATCCTCTCAACCTTACCCTGAGATTGAGGATGATACACGGACCCAAAACCATGTTTGAGTCCCAACATGGCCTCCACGTACTGGAGGTCCTGGTTCTTGAAGTGTGACCCATTGTCCGACCTGATCTTTTCTGGGAAGCCATGCTGTGGGATGTAATGGTTGATGAGACACTTAATTACTGATTTGCTGTCCTCTCTTTTCACTGGCCATGCTTCTGGCCATCCTGTAAATGCATCAACACACATCAAAACATACCTGTACCCTCGGACTGAGTTAACCATATCTGTAAAATCAATGATGATTTCTTTCCCTGGACGTGTTTTTAGTTGGAACTTACCCACCCCGGGTTTGTATGTAGGTCTGGTGTTGTGGTGTGTGCAAACAATGCAGTGTCTTACCCACTCCTTTAGCATGTCATGTAGGAAGGGGTGCCACCATTCTTTGAGGTCCACTTTCATCTGGGAGATGCCTGCATGGCCAACTCCATGTGCTTCTGAGAAGATACTGTCTTTGAGCCCAGGTGGCAGAACCAACCTTCCATCTGGGGATCTCCAGGTCCCTTCCGATAGGACTGCGCCTCTGAGTTTCCACACTGTCTTCTCTTCAGGTGAGGCTAGGTCCTGTTCTTTTGAGATTTCTGTAAGGGACAGTTTTGTCATTTGTGTCTCTGTGTCTGGTCTTACCAACAGGAGCAGTAGCGGTTCTAGGCACGGGCGAACAGGGCAGCCGCCCGGGGCGGCATTTGTGTCATGACTCATGGGGGGCGGCACGAGCACTTCCAAAAAAATAAAATAAAAGATAATAATAATAAATCTTGACCGCAAAGCGGATTTGTATTAACTCTTGTTGTCAAATTGGCGCCCCCCCGCTGCTGTAGGCAGACTGTATGAGACGAGGCGGGGAGAGAGTCGCGAGCTCTGCTCTGTGTATGTCAGCATATCAGCGGGAGCGCGGATACGTCATTTTGTAGTTTTTTAATCATTTCTGGAGTCGCAGTGAATGAAATCACCGTACCCGTCTGCCTTTGATAGGCGAATAAAGCGCTCGTAGCGATCTTGCTACGTGCTTGATGAGCTTCATGAGTAAAGTAAACAATGACGGCGGCAGAGAGCAGCTTCAGAGGAGAAACATCCAGCAGTGTTGACAACCTCTTCATAGGGAGTGCTTTGGCTCACACTATCAGCGTTTTCTCTGAGTGTTGCATGACTTTGGGTGAGAACAGAGATGAACACACTGTCAGCCACGTATTTATTTATTCATTTTTTAGTTTTTAGTTCTGCTTTTGTACTGGCACTATACTGAGGCAGCTGTATACCCTTTCAACACCTTATTTTCTACATTTACATTTGTATTGAATGGACACTTTATCATGACTGCCACTTGTTTTACAGAAAGCAAATTATTTGTCATTCTCCAGTGCAGAGCCTTTACTTTTATTTATACAGCCGCTTTATTTCATTTGAGTTTGTTTGTTCAAGGTTTTCAAAAATGTGATGAAGGTTCGCAAAACTAAAAGAGAGCTTTCTTGAAAGCCACATGTTTAAGCTCTCAAATACTTTTTGAATTTTGTTTCTATCTACTACAGAGGCCGAGATAGCAGCTTTTTTGTAAACCTTAACACGTCAGAAAACCTCAGGATCTGGGGGCCCTTCTGAAAATGGCCCTCAGGATTGTGTTTTTTTCTATTGAAGGATTTCTGCAACTGAGAAATATATTATTTTTGTTGTTATAATAATAATAATAATAATACTACATAGTAATACAAAACTATCTGTTCAAAATTCTAGCTGGGGGGGGGGGCACTTGGAGGGGTGCTCGCCCGGGGAGTAATTTGGTCTAGAACCGCCACTGAACAGGAGCTTCTCATGATATCCTGCGGCTGCTTTGGCTGCGGAGTCCGCTGCTTGGTTGCCCATGGCAACTCTGGATCCGCTGTTGTCGTGTCCTTTGCATTTGATGATGGCCACCTTCTGGGGAAACCACAGTGCTTTTGCAAGCTCTTTCATTTCATCCATGTGTTTAATGGGTTCTTGTTTTGCAGTTAGGTAGCCCGCTCTCATCCATTGTCCTAGGTCTACTTGTGCTGCGTGTACTGCATAGGCTGAGTCAGTGTAAATGTTAATGTCTTGGTCTTTACCTGCTTTCAGGGCTTCAATCACTGCCACGACTTCTGCTCTCTGGGCTGACTGTGGTCCATTGAGCTTTTGTGCTGTTACCGTCTTGAGTCCGTCTGGTGTTTCTTCTATCACCGAGAATCCTGCTCTGAGTCCCTCCTTCTCATCTCTGTAGCAGCATCCGTCTGTGTATAGGTTTCTGGCCCCTAGGATGGGCTCCGACTGGAGGTCTTCTCTGGCTTTTTCTTCTTTTTCAACCCTGTGGGCACACTCATGCAACACACCTTCCCCCAAACGCTCAGCCATGTTAACACCTTCATGAGTGAATAGAAAGTTTGGGGCTTCGAGAATGCGAGCGAGTTTTTGCTCTCTTGTGGAGGACATCGTAAAAGTCTGCGAGTTCACATAAGCTACAACGCTGTGTGATGTCAAGATGTGAAGTGTGTGTCCCATAACTATGTGTGCGCTTTTGTTGATGAGTTTGGCAACACCTGCAGCATGTCTTGTGCACGTTGGTTGACGTTTTTCTGTGGGGTCAAGGATGACACTGAGATACATCAGTACCGTTCTCTCTCCCCCTTTTTTCTGGAACAGAATACCGTTAGCAACAGATTCTGTTTCAGAAACATCCAAAAAGAACGGGCGCGCATAGTCGGGGTGGGCCAATTCGGCGGATGCAGCGAGTTCTTGTTTGAGTTTGATAAAAGCTTCTTCCGAGTCGCGGGACCATGTCAGCTTCGCATTCAGATTTCTCATACCTGCAGAGGTGACCATGGCTCTCAGCGGAGACGTGAGAGTGGAAAAATCAGGTATGTACTGCCTGCTGTAACCCACCAAACCGAGAAACGACAGCATAGCTTTGACAGTGTCAGGCTTGGTGTGGTGCAGAATGGATGTGCGGTGGGCGGGGGACAATGAGGCCCCCTTTTGTGACAGTAGTCTGCCGAGGAAAGAAACTTGTTTCCGCGCGATTTGCAACTTAGGTTGACTGACCTTGAACCCGTGGCGGGCCAGGAGTAGGAGCAGGGCCCGTGTGGCCTGCAGGCAGGACTCGGCTGTGGTGGACGCAATGAGCAGGTCGTCGACATATTGAATCACTGTGGTGCCATCGGGCAGCTGCAGGTCAGCCAAACTCTCTTTCAGAACCTGGTTAAAGATGCCAGGGGAGAGGGCGAATCCCTGTGGGAGGCGGGTGTAACGGAGTCTGCGACGCTGGTAGGTGAACGAGAAGACGTCCCGAATGTGCTCATGTAAAGGGAGACAGAAAAAAGCGTTTAATTAAGATTAGCAAGATTAATACATGTGAACCATGCTTGTTCGGGGGACAGATTGTTCAGAGCAATATATGGGTTTGGCACCGGGACCGTATTGGTCCCCTACCATGGTCTCTAGGTATGAGTTCATGTGTGCATAAAGCAGAGTCAGTGGTAGTACTCACAATTCTGAACATTTTCAGGGACGGCGAGCGGAGCACGCCAGGCAGGCCGGAGGAAGACCAGTCTGAGGCTGAGACTGCTGCTTTGACCATGGGGCCCAATTCACGAGCCTCATGTCCCGGATGGAGAGCCAGTGAAATGTGGGGGAAAGCAGTCTCAGACATATTATACCAGGACTGTTGCTCTCTCGTGAGATTAACCATTGCCGCAACCCCCTGTTGTCCTACCAAAATGTCACCAGAATGTAGCTGCCAGGTCTTACATTCTAGCTGATTTTGGAATTCCTCTAAGTAACATTCATTACCCTCCCGGTCGTAGAACAGAGTCAGATGGAGCGGGTCAGGTGGAGCCACGTAGGCGTGGACGCTGAGGATCCAGGGTTTCCAATGGAGATAACATGAGTAGAGCCCAGTTTGTGATGGCTCCAACAGGGCCCAGAAAATGTCTGCAAATCTAGGTTCAGTGTCTCTGAGGAGGTACTGGTGTGTGTCCCCAATCCCTTGTGCACATAGAACTTCAGACCCATCCGGGAACGTGACAGTGAGGCCCTGCTGACCGCAGAGGATCTGTGCATTGAGTCTCGAGAGTAGGTCCCTACCCAGGAGATTGACTGGAACACGGAGACACTAGATAGGGGTGTTGTAATTTCTGTCCCGCTACGTGTGTGGGGAGGGGGATGGTAAATGACAGAATCTGACTTACCCCAGAGAAACCCACCACGCTCATCGTCCGTTCAGACAGAGGCCCAATGTCCTGATTAACCGTAGATCTGGTAGCCCCTGTGTCAACGAGAAAGGGCAGAGCGTGGTCCCGGACCGTCATGGACAGCATGGGCTCTGCCGTTACCCCGCTGTCCGAGTCACTCTGTGGGGCGTGTCATTGAGGATACTGGTAGGCGTCCTGAGCCTCACAGGTCTGGTCCCAGGCAGTGACTGCGACTGGAAACTGGTGAGCCTGCTGCTGCTGCTGTTGTTGCTGCTGCTGTTGCTGCTGTTGCCGTGGGGGTGGTCCTCCCTGTCTCAGCGGAGGTGGTCCATGGGCCATGCCACGCATCGGGTAGCTGTGTTGCTGCGGAGGGTTGGGTGGATAGTTCGGACATTCACGCCACCAGTGTCCATTCATGCCGCAGGAGTGGCAGGCGTTGTTGCGTGTAGGTGCTGTTTGTGCCTGATTCCAGTAACTGCCCTGGCGGGGAGGGCCGTTGTTACGAAATCTCCTGCTGCCCTGGAAACCTCCTCCCCTGTAGGGTCCACCAGACCTCGCTCCACGTCCTCCGCCCCACGAACCCTGAGATTGATCTGTGGGAGGAGAATAGGGAGAACAATCTGCCCGCTGGGGCACTGGGTACATGTCAGGTGAAATCTGTGGGTCGTTGGAGGCAGCGGCAATCATAATTTTATCTGTATTACGATCTTTCTTAGCTGCAGCTTCACAAGTTGTCTCTGCATGTCTTTGTCATCATCACCTTGTTTGTCAGCTCTGTCTTTCGCTCTCTGTAGGTGGTGTTTGAGATGTCGTTCCCACACTAGGCAGGTTGAGCCCGGAAGGTCTGGGCTGTTTTCCAAGTGTTCTCTAACGTCTGCTGGAACACCTTTAATTACAGCATCTCCAAACCAATGTTCCTGGCCCTTACTGGGGTGGACCCCCGTGTATTTGGACCATTGTTCCTTGCACTGGGCTAGATACTCGCTAGGAGAGAGACTTTTGTCCCATGAGAACTTGGGGATCATTGGACCGTTGGGAAGCGGGTATTTGGAACGGAGTTCATTACGCAGAGCCCTAATTACTGTGACTAGCTGCCTGTCATCATTGCAGGAAATGGTACCTGCACAGGTTTCGATGTCCCTGAGTTCGGTAGGGGTGACACAGAGCGCGAGAATAGCCCTGAAATCGCCGAGGGCTAGATCTTGGCCTTTAGTCAGGCAGTCCAATTTGTCCAGCCATAAGTTGCCTCCCTCAGAGATGGGGGGCAGCTTATCACTGATGGTTTGTGTATCGCTAACAGCGAATGGTTTATAGATTTTGTGTCCACCACTGGATTCGACCGGAGGGAAAGCGGAGGAGCTGTGGTGTGCTGTAGCTGCGTCTGAATATGCTGGAGGTAACATGGCTTTTGAGCGTGTGAAGTGATGGTGGCTGAGAGGTGCACTCACCCTTTTTTTCGTTCGTCATACGCTGCTGTTCCTCCATGGTGGCTGTGGGTCGGGCCATGGCTTCACTGGCGTCCGTGTTATCCATATAGTTGACGGTGGAGCCTCTGATGGTCCTCTGCATCTCATCTCTCATGGTGCTGAGCATTTCGTCTCTCACTTCCTGTCTGAGTTCCTCCTCCACTCTGCTGCGCATGAGCTCTGCACCTGTAACATCTAGGGTGTCTTGCAGTATTTTATTGAGAGTGCTCTTGGTAGGATTGGGGTCATATGTACCTCTTAGGTTAAGACGGTATCACCGTCTTAACCTGTCCCCTGGGGGTGGATCTCTGCTGTGGCTCAGGAGCGGGCAGTGAATCTGGTGTGGGCAAAGATTTAAATTGTAATTCTTTTAAACTCACTCAAAAAGCGGGCCTGACGGTCTCCGAATGGTGCATCGAGCTGGTCCTCCTCTTCCTCCTCGCTGTCCTCAGCTTCAGAATCGCTGTTTTCATGTCTCGGTAGGTATCGTTGCCTTCTCTGTCCTCGTAGTCTGAGAGGTCGATGGTGGTGGTACCAAAAGTCCTAGAGGCCATGGATGGTGCCTTGTGTCCAGGAATGTGAGAAGTCAGGGAGGGGTCCGGCTGTTGAGGCATCATGGTGGGGGGTATGTCAATCTTCAGATGTCCTTCATTGATGATGATCACTGGGTAGAGAGAAGTGCTCACAAAAGGATTAGTGGGTGAGAGTTTTTTTCTGTGAAAACCAGACTGAGCAGAGTGTTAAGGTGGGGGTAGAGGCGGAGCTGTGGGAGGCGGAGCTGAGGGGTGGAGACCTGAGAAAAGATTCGTTGGTTCAGCGGTGGGAGGAGGCAGGATAGAGGGAGGGGTAGCTGGTGGAGGCGGAGCTGGGGTGGCACCCTTTGTGTTGGTGGGTGTGTCCTTCTGTGTCTTACTGTGTGTGTGCTGATTTGAATAATCTCATGTCTGTATTTGGGGTGGGGGTAATCCCTGTCAAACCTTGCTCAGCTGCCTTTTTTACATTAGTAAGATGCTCTGTCCCTCTGTGGGCTACTCCCAACGTCTGCCACCTAGCAAGTCCTCTAAAATGCTTTTTTACGGCCTGTTTATATTTTCTGCGGAGCAAAATGCTGCCTAGCGCTGCTTTCTTCCTTGCTGCTTCTCCTTTTGCTAGCTCTTCTTTCCCACGTGCCCAGATGAGATCTCCTAGTGAGGATCTTTCATTTTCCCTCCCTTCGATAAGCTCTAGCAGCATATCAGCATACTTTTCCCTCCCTTTCGCTGTCACCACAACTCCATCTTCTTTCCCTATGCCCTTTAAGATCCACTCTGCCTGTAGAGATAACGGGCCCCACCCATCATCATCTACCTCATCATCTATTCACACACAGGCTTCAATAATGTCACACAGCAGAGAGAAAGTTATTCTCCACTGAACTTTTTCTGTACGGCAGAACTCCTCGCACAGGTTTCAACTGTATCACACAGCAGAGGCAAAGCCAGTCACCACTGACTTTTTTCTTTTTTTTTTTTTTTTCGTGCGGCACAGCTCCTCGCACTAAATTCAACAATATCACACAGCAAAGACAAAGTCAGTCTGTACTGACTTTTTGTGCGGCACAGCTCCTCGCACTAAATTCAACAATATCACACAGCAAAGACAAAGTCAGTCTGTACTGACTTTTTGTGCGGCACAGCTCCTAACACTAAATTCAACAATATCACACAGCAAAGACAAAGTCAGTCTGTACTGACTTTTTGTGCGGCACAGCTCCTCGCACTAAATTCAACAATATCACACAGCAAAGACAAAGTCAGTCTGTACTGACTTTTTGTGCGGCACAGCTCCTCGCACTAAATTCAACAATATCACACAGCAGAGACAAAGTCAGTCTGTACTGACTTTTTGTGCGGCACAGCTCCTCGCACTAAATTCAACAATATCACACAGCAGAGACAAAGTCAGTCTGTACTGACTTTTTGTGCGGCACAGCTCCTCGCACTAAATTCAACAATCACACAGCATAGAGAAACTCAGTCTCCACTGAATTTTTCTGTGCGGCATATCAACTCGCACAGAATTCAACAGTATCACACACTTCTTTTCAGGGGGCTCCAAGTCCCCGGGGTTTGCAACCCAGCTCAACTAGCGCCCCGTCGAGCCACTAGGGGGGTTCGCCACAACCCAGAGCGGTGGTCCTTATGACTCTTTTTTGCGGCCTTCACACAGGCTTCTCTTAAGTTTCACTTTTCATTTCACACATAGTTTCTCTCTTCGTCAGAACACAGAATATCACAAGATGTACCAGTACAATATCATGAGCCTCGTAATAAATTTAGGATTCAGTATATACAGAGTTCAAGAGATCTTTGATTTAGAGTAACACAAATAGGCAGAAATTCTGTTAAAAAGGTTTTCTGCTTACCTTATTTTGTGGTCGACCAGATCTCTTTTCCTCTGATGCACTGAACAGTTTTCTCCAATTCAAAAGCTCTGTCAGAACTCCATCCCGGACGAGCCCCCAAAATTGTTGAAGTTATTTCAAACTTCCCCGAGTCCGTTGATGGAGACTGGAACAGAGGTTTCACTGAGGCAAAAAGGTGTCTTCAACAAACCTTTTATTTCGGCACATCAAATAACACAAGATATCTTGGAGAGCACAACATCAACCCAATGGTATCTCTGAGGTGGTCTGATTATTATTTTTCAGTAGTTAATAGTTATACCCTAGGAGGCGTCTCATCATCTTTTTGGGCGGAGAGTTTACATACCCAGCAGTCCCCAGTGTTTCTCTATGGACAAACAAGCACGTATTGTTCTATTTTTTTTACCTGACCGAAACCGTGGTTTCAGGGAAGTTGACCTTGGATGCATCCAGCGCTTGTCTCCTTTTTGATCATATTTGCGTCATGTATTCCAAGCTTTCACTGAGTTCCCACTGGGCAGACTGCTGAGCATACAAACCCTCCCTTTATACCTCCCCATCTTCTCACGACAGAGTGATCTTCCTCCCTCGTCCTGTTGTTCACATCTCTGACTAGCACCTGCACATCTTTTAATGAAAGGCACATCATTATCTGAGGCATATGTCAGGGGCATAGAGCACTTCTATAAGGAACACTTTTAATAAATGACTGTTGTGATTATAATACACACTTGAAATAAATGACTGTTAAGGCATAACAGTTTAAAACCATACTTACCATCCCTTGGCACTTCTCGGCATAAGCTAAAATCCTTCTATACTGAAAGTCTCTGTTCCATACATTGTGACACAGTGGTCAATTGCCCCCGTGTTAGCATTAAACCTTCTATTCTGACTCATCAGTACATGTCCGCAATGAGCACACAAAATATTGTAAACACAATAAGAAAACAGTTAATTACCTGAAACAATGACTAAATGATAGGTATGATATATGAGTTCCCACAACACCCCAAATATTTTTTTTCATTTTACATTTTTTTTTGGTGTAACCAACTCCAAAAGTTCTGAAACATGTTCCTAAAAAGGTTTTGGACAGTGATTTTAACCTTAAAGCCAAAAACCTTAAATCTTACCGTAGCTCCATTACCTAATACCAGGGTATTACCTTCAGGAAGTCCGAAAACCCCAAACATTTTTTTTTTCATTTTACATTTTTTTTTGGTGTAACCAACTCCAAAAGTTCTGAAACATGT